GCCAGGGCAGGCTGGGTCTTGGGAAGCAGCCTGTGTGTTTGGCATTTTGATATCCTGGAGCTGCGAGGTTTCCTAGCATCCCTGAACTGTCCAGAGCCCGCCCAGGATCCCAGCTGAAGCTGCCGGGGGAGGAGAGTGACTCATCATCACTCAGGGATGAGTCCCAGCCCCGCTGCTCCCTGGGCTGAGGTGGAAAGTCAAGAACAGCTCGTGTTCATCAGAGGTCTGCCCTGGAAGGGAGCCTTGCGGGCGGCGCAAGATTAAACAGAAGAGCCAGAACAGTAAGACAGCGAAGAGGGGGCAGGCTGCCCTGGGCCTTGGTCCCTGCTGCAGAGGACCTGGCAGTATTCATTTGAGGCAACCAGTAAGGAAACTCAGTCCCCCCCGGCCCCACCTGCAGGCCAGAGGCCCCTGGCAGGCAGGTGTTTCTAATTCCCCTTTGGCCTCATCACGGCAGGGCTGGCATCTGCCATGGGGAACCGTGCGCTTCTCAGGGGGATGCATCTCTGTCCTATCAGCAGTTGAGAGTGGACTCTGAAAGGAGCCGCAGGAGGCTGGTGTCTGGGTTCCGAGACATGGGGAGACCCCTCCTTGGTGATGGGGGGAAGCCCACCCTTGGTGCTCCCCAAGCTCCCAGGCTGCACGCTGGCCCTGCCCTTTGGGATACTGACCATGGGCTGGAGCATGTGGGGACGGTCAGGTGTGTGGGTACAGCTGGGGTGTGCTGGGTCTTTGTCTACACTTTAATAAAAGGACCGCTCCTCGGTGAAGTGGGGGCTTCCTCAGTACATCTCGCGCCTCCAGCACTGCAGTAAGGCGACACACACAGGACACAGATTGAGAAGAGGCCAAAGGGATGGGGCCAAGGGAGAAGCTTGCCCTCTCGACCTTGCCTGAAATGCTGTCCTCAGAAATGAGTGTGGCTCCTGCCCTTCCTTTCAGATCTGCTGGAGGTGTTCCTGGCATCTCCCCTGAGGGTACATTCCACACTGACCTTCCCTGGTGGACAAGTGCATTCTCTGAAGGACCTAGATGTTAACCCCCTCTGGTTGTGTAATGTGTGCATGTTTTCTCATTCAGTAGGATGTCGTTTTAATCTACTTATATTTTCTTTCAACGAAAGAAATGTTCTTAAAATGTAAAACATCTGTAATTTGAGGTAGTAGCAATTTATTTTTGCTTTTATTTCCCTTGCTGTATGGGTTGAGTCTCCAGAAAACAGCTTTCTCATTGATAAAGTCAGTGAAATGTATCACTAACATTTTCATCTCTATCTATACGGTTGTGGGTCTATATCTGTTTTTAATTCACTTAGAATTTAGTTTTTTTTTTTTTGTATGGAGCCAGAGCATGGTCCAAGTTCACTCATATGGCCAGTTTTCCCAGCATCATTGGTTAAAGAGCATCCTCCTTTTCCATTGGATGGCATGGCACCTTTATCCTGAGTTAAGTTATTGACATATGTGTGGATTTCTTTCTGAACTTTTGATTCTGTGCCAGTGAGTCATGTCTCTTTTTATTCTAGTACCATACTGTTTTAATTACTGTTGCTTTATAAAACAGTTTAAAGCCAGGTAGCATGATGCCTCCATTTTTCTCAGGATTACTGTAACTATTTAAGGTGTTTTATGGTTCCCAGGAAATTTTAATTTTTTTTGTTCAATTTTTCCTGCAGAATATGGTTGGATTTTAATGGAATTGCATTAAATATTTGTTCTTCTTTTGGTAAAATAGTCATTTTAACAATATCGATTCTCCCTACCCATGAGCATGAAATGTCTTTCCATTTCTCCATCATGATTATTTTCTTTAGTTGAGTATCTCCTTGACTACATTAGCTCCTAGGCATTTGATTCTCTTTGATGTGATCGTGGATGCAATTATTTTCCCAATTTCTCTTTGTCATTCATTATTTCTATATGAACATAGAATAGGTTTTTGTACCCTGACTTTGTGAATCTCTACTAAGCTGTATTCATCTATTTTTTTTTTAAGATTTATTTATTTGTTCATACAGAACTGGGGTACAGGCCAGAGGCTCAGGGGCGGCGAGAGGCTTCACCAGAGACAGAGTGGGGAGCAGAACAGGCAGATTGACGAAGTACACTGCTGAGGGGAGCAGCGGGCGAGTCAGGAGAGGTCTGCCACGCCATGTGGTCACCTCCGGGGCAGGCGGGAATCGAACTCATGTGGAAGTGACTTTAGTTTCTCAGTGTTGTGCTTTAACCCGCTGCGCCACCAGGGAGGGCCTCATCTATTTTTGATAGTAACTTTTTGGTGGAGTCTGTAGGGTTTTTCTATGCATTATCTTCAGATATGATGTTTCCCTTCTTTTCCAACCTGGATTCATTTTATTTTCTGTTGCTGTCTGATTACTCTAGTTGAAGCCTCTTGTAATATTTGAAGGAGAAGTGATGATAGTGGCTTCCTTTTCTTGTTCCTGATCTTAAGGGGAAAGCCTTCACTTTTTCATTTTAAGTATTATAGTACCTGTAGATTTGTGATATAAGGCCTTTACTATGTTGAAGTAGATTCCTTCTATTCCCATCTTGTTTAGAGTCATTTTTTGAAAATCATAAATGAGTGCTGAATTTTGTCAAATGTTTTCTCTATAACCATTAATATTTATAAAATATAAAATCATATTATTTTATCTTTTTTTTTTTTATGTATCTGTTACATTGATTGCTTTACAAATGTTAAACCATCCCTGCATGACTGAGATAAAGCTGACTCGGTCATGATGTATAATCCTTGTAAAGTATTGTTGAATACAATTTGCTAGTATTTTGCTGAGGATTTTCACATCAATATTCACCTGGAATTGAAGTCAGGTTTTCTGTCTTTAGTATTATAGTCTAAATATTTCTAAAGAAGAGTTTCTCCCCTCAGCACTATTATTCTTTGTTGTGGGGGTGTCCTTTGTACTATAGGGTGTTAGCGGCATCTCTGGCCTCCACTTTCTAGTTGCCAGCACCACTCCCCACCTGCATATCCCAAAATGTTCACTGCCAAATGTCCCCGGGAGCAAAATCACCTCACTTCAAAACCAGTGTTCTCCATTTCAACCCGGGTCTCCACATGCTGCGCCCTCCGGAATGGGCTTAGTGCGTATTGACGCTGCTGCATTTCTGCTGTGAGGAAGTGGCTCTCATCCAAACACCTCCCCACCCTTACACATCAGTCACATTCTAAAGAAGGGAAGACAAAGGGAGGACAATTACCCGACACTGTCAGTGAAACATGTCTTTTATTGCTGCCATGATTCCCCGGATGTCCGCCTGAGACGCAGAAGTCGAAGTAATGCACATAAACAAACAAAGAGCTGTGACTGCATGGCCCGTGGCGCAGACACCAGCTGTCACTCAGGATGGCTAGAGGGGGCTCCTACAAGCGGAGAGACCGGCCTCTCTAAGCCCCTTATGTCCCAGGATCTGTCCATCTGGAGCGTCAATCTTGACTGTAACACAGCACGACAGGCCGCCTCTGCGCTTCGCCCAGCACCAGAGCAGGTGACATTCCTGCAGCCGCAAAGGCTCTACAGAGAGACCTGAGATTTTGAAGCACCAACAGCCCTGAGTCTTCATCTCCCTTATTACACGAGGTTAAACGAGGGGTCGGTGCCCTTATTAAAGTGCATTGTGTAGATGACTAGGACCACGGCGGTGTACAGGACACACGAGAAGACTTGAAAGGTTTATGTCTTAATTTTTGACATTTAGTTGGAAAGCAGTAATGAAATCAAATATCTGAATCATTAAATCCTCTGGTGATCCCTGATTGTCATGGTGGTGAGAAAACAGGAAGGGGTGTGTGTGTGTGCTTGTGTGCGCTTCTGTGTCTGTGTGTCTCCGTGTCTGTGTGTGTGCGTCTCTGCATGTCTCTGCTTGTGGGCCTCTGTGTATGTGTCTTTGTGTGTGTGGTGCTGTGTGTGTGCTTTTGCGTACCTGTGTGTCTGTGTGTGTCCCTGTATGGACCTCTGTGTGTGGATGTGTCCGTGTGTGCTTGTGTGACACACAGCCGGACGTAACTGTGAAGTTCCTTCATGAGATCATCTTAACCGTGAAGACAGTTTCGGCCTTCGCTCTGAAGGGATCGTCTCGGCGCGGGCTGCGGCCTCTGCCGTGTTTGAGTCACATGCTTGAAAAGAAAACTGTTTTCGTGGAGCTGTTTTGGCTGGTTTTAGAAAATATCTGTTTCTCGCTCGAGAAGATTCTACTTGCTTTCTGTTAGCATTGAGGTGTATGGACAGAAGTGGAGGTATTGGGGGTCGGGGTTCCCACCTTCCTGGGTTCCCCTTATAAGCTGTCAGCAGGGGCAGGAAGTGAAGCTTAGGGCCCCACTATGGGCTCGTTTGCTCCTAACCGGAGCGTAAACTCAACGAGAGCTGGATTCCGTCTCGTCTGCCACCATCCAGTCAGCGGGGTACATGCCCGATACGCGTGGGCTCAACGCACGAGGCTCCTCTTATGCAGGGCTGTCGCCGTGGCCGTGAGCCAGCGGGAGGGCGCTGCGCCTAGCGTCAACTCCAGACCCACGTGTGCGACGCGCTCCTCGTTTCTGCCTTCGCCTTGCTTTTATCTGCCCTCCCCTCGCTCCCCTGAGAACTGCGAAGACGGCCAGGTCCTCGTCCCGTTGGTCCCTTTGCAGGCGCCACCTGAGCCAACCTGCCAGCTGGCTGCTTTTGCCACCTCGTGTCCACTGCGCCTGGGCCGGGCAGTGGTGAGGCACGTGTGTGCCGTGGGGTGCAGCCTCCATCTTTTCTCCCGTTTGTCGGGTTAACACTGACGCTTCGCATCCAGTTTCGGTCTCCCCTAAAGTTCTGCTACCAGCTAGCTCATCCGCTTCCTGCTGGTGGGGTCTGGCCTGACCACCGGGCTGGGCCTAGACTTGGTGGCTTTGGCAGACGCTGGCAAGTTGCCTGGGCAGCTGTGGGTGGCAGGGGCCGGGAGAGTGAAGGTCGCAGGGGCGCTATAGTGACACGCTGCTTCTTGTTTCAGGGTGCGGCAGAAGACCCCCAGACGGCCTTGGCGCTGAGCTTCGACCCTGCACTGATGAAGAAGTCGGACCCCGAGGGTCCCGGGCTGCTGTTCCCTGAGAGTGAACTCTCCATCAGGATAGGTAGCGCTGGGCTTCTTTCAGGCAAGCTCCCTGTTGCAGACTCCGGCGGGCTAGACTGTGGAGACTTGGGCTGGTGGGAGGGAGGGCGGGGACTTGCGGGGGGTCTGTGTCTCCAGGCGACTCCCCCCAGCACTGCGGGGACTGAGCTGGTGCCTGCCCAGCACCTCCTCTTCTTGTCAGTTCCCCAAACTGTCAGCTTACTGAACAGGTCAGCGTCTTTAGCTCGTCTTTCCAGGTTGATCTGATGGGGATCAGGTCCCTTTGGGTCACGGTGTGTTCACTTATCCCTACGCCTGCCCCCCTCAGCATGGTGAGCACCCTCAACTGAATGCCCATTTTTTTTTTAAGTTTTTTTTTTATTACAAAAGTTTATTTTTACATCATTTTGTACATTTTTTTTTCCATCTCAATTGTAATCCCCGCGGGTTTCCCATCACCAAGTCACCCGTGTGCCGTCACCATAATCCCGTGTGAATCCCCATTTTCATGGGGTGGCCTGACTGTCATCGTTTGGATTCCCCCAGAAAACCACAGGCTTTTCTCAGTGACTCTTTGGTGCCAGAAAACCTGAGCAGCGACAGCAACGTCATGTCTTTCCTCTAGAGGAAATGGGGTCCCCTGAGAGGAATGAGAATAGGGGCCCCTAAAGCCGTCTGCTCAGAGGGAGTTGAGGGTGCCCAGGAAGGACTGTGCTTCTCCAGCCTCCACATCTGACTGCCCCCTGGGCAGATGGTGTGAGGACGCTGGACCCCTTTCGCTTCCTTTATTTATGACAGTTCCAGGTTACCCTGCATGACCCCGGGCTTTGCAGGGCGCCTGCCCCGGCCATCCCCACGTCCCCGGAGGCCACAGTGCCCCCAGGCACCTGCAATTGCGAATGGGGGGCCCCTGCCTGGGGTAACGGGGAGCAGGCGGGTCGCTGTGCGGTGGTAGCGGCGCCTAGGAGAGGCACCCTGCGCGTTGCCGTACTGGGGTTCCAGGCCCTTTCCGCGGGTGGGCCGTGGTGGTCTCAGACGTCGGCCGCGGACACGTGCGAGTTAGAGCGGCGCCGGCGCGGAGCGGGCTCTCAGTGAGCTGTGTTCAGATTTGTCCTGCATGAATTATTCATGGACAATCCGAACGCCTTCTCGGCTTGGATTGATTCTCACGGCCTCCCACAACGCCCTCCTCGGGATCTCATCAGGAAATAAAAATTCATCGTACGTAAGCTCAAGGAACAGAGGACGGGGAGGTCGAAGCGGCCCCGCACCCCGCCTCCAGTCGCGCGCGCGGTTCAGGCGCGAGCGCGATTGGGCGCCGGCCGCTGCTTTCCGTTTACTGTCTAAGGGCAGGAGAGCTGGCCACTTTCGGGCTGCGTGCGGGACACAGGGATGGACGGCCATTCGCTGTCCCCCTAGCTAGCGCTTGTGCCCCTCTGAAGGCGCCTCTGGCCTGATCCCAGGCTCTCTCTGCGCTGGCCAGGTCAGCCAGGTTGATCCTAGCTCACCCTTCTCACCTTCCAGGCCCGGGGCGGTGCAGCCCCGCAGGTTCCCTTCCACGGAGCCTTTTCCGTGAGGCGGTGGGGCTGCGGAGTGGGCGAGCTGGCCCCTGGGGAGAGCCCGCGGGACCGCTGCAGCTTGCTGGCCAGCCGGGCGTGTTCGGAGCCGGCTGTGTGGGAGGGACATGCGGGCTCAGGGCTCGGAGCGCCGAGGCGCAGCCTCTTACCAGGTTACCAGGCAACCCGCAGTCCTCGGGCTGACCTCCCCTGTGAGGGCTCACGCAGCCCTCCGAGGAGCCGGAGGAGGGGTTCTGGGACTGGGCCGGGCGCCATCCTCGCGGGGACACGCCTCGCCTGTGGGTGTCCGTGGAGATGCAAACGCGCGCGCGGCTGCTTGGGGACGGGACTCGTGCAGATGGCGCCTCACGTGCCGTATTTGTACCATCTGGATTTGCCCTTGAGCTCGCTGTAAACAGGGCCAGGAGAGGGTTTAGTGGGCATTTAGTGACTAGCAGCAGCCTTTAAAAAATAATATCGGTGCTGCCCTTATCATGTCCCATAATTGTGTCAGCAAGAGGAAGAGCCGCAGGCTGGGGGAGAAGGTTCGGCCGCCCCCCGGGGCAGCAGCCTGAGCCGGGAAAGCCTTCCGAGGCGCTTCCCTTTCCGCGTCTTGCTGCCAAGTGATTTATGGTAACAACTTTCTGCAGGCTGCGGGGGTGTTTGGGACCTAGCTCGACCAGAAGTTCTTTCAAAGCGTCAGTCTCCCTCTCTAGCCAACTATGTATCTATTTCCAACTAGCTCTCTTTTAATTAAAAAAGTAATAACATGGATTAAAAATTAAAATGCCATTTTTCTTGCGACTTCAAATCCCTCCCGAGCCAGGCTCAGACGCAAACGGGGTGTCGTTGCTTGTGTCCTTGCAAGATGCCGTCTGCACCCATCTTGGCCCGCTGCTCTTTTCCAAGTAACACATCTTGGTCTTTGTTTCCCGGCCAGACATTGATTCATTCCGTTGCTGTTCCTGGCTGCAATCTCACCTAATAAGTCCCTTCTTGATGGCCCTCTGGGTGTTTCTAACCTTCTGCTCTTATAAAAGAATGTGGCAGAGAGCATCTTTTATAACGTGCCTCTCTGTGGACACTTACGCAGCTGAGCAAATTCCAGAAATTAGGCCAGGCGTTCTGGGCCGCTGGGGTCCCCTGTTGGGACCAGTGGGCTCGCGAACCTCTGGAAATTCAGTGCAATAAAAGGGATGAGCTTCTGGGAGGCCAAGTCCCCAGCTCCATCCCAGAAGGCCCCAGTTCCTCCGGGGCCTGGCTCCCCTGCGCGAGCCTCCCCTGTGGCTGCTGGCCTGGGCCTTTCTCGCTCTCATTCTCATCTCACGGTGAAGGAGGGGGTGAAAGTAGAAAGAGTTTGCCGCGAGCTGCTTGTCCTGAGGGGGGCTGAAGCTCTTTCCAGAAAGCGTTTTTCTTTTCTTCTCGGCTGCATTGTCGTGGCTGGTGAAGAATTACCTCTCACTCTGAGTACCTGGGCAAAGCACAAGGGGAGCCATGACTTTCCAGCGAGAAAGGTAGGTTTACCTTGGGAGCTCACGGAGTTGTGCATGGCCCCTGCTTGTTTCCCGTAAGTCTCACCAGTGCCTGTTGGGGGACCGTGTGAACAGCCCGGGAGCTGGGCTCCTAACAAACTGGTTAGACACGCTTCTTTCTTTAAAGCCTGTCAGCCGATCGCAGGAGCCCTCCCGTGGGGCCCTGGCAGCAGCCACTCTGGGCGCACAGCGGCGGCCCGGGAGCCAGGGTCTGCAGAAGGAAGCGAACACAGACCTTGTGGGAGGCGAGGGTTAGGTTTGGTGAGATAGCCGGTTAACCGCTGCCGCGGCCTGACTTCCTGAGGTCCTGACTGGCTTCCGACCGGCTCCTGGCCTCTCCTGGGGAAACAGAGCCCATCTCGGGGGAGAAAGTTTACCTTTTCCAGTCGAGGTTCCCCAGTGCCTGACCCCACGCCAACACCTCCGGGGCCCGGCCCCGGGGGAGCCCTGAGGATTGGGGTGCTCTTCCATGGCCTCACCCTCCGATACCGTCGCTCCTCCTCCAGGTCTCACGCCCCCCTCTTCTCATCTTGCATTTGAAATCCCTTCTCTCCGTTACCTGCCCAGTTAAGCCCTCTCCCTCGGGTGCCCAGGAAAGGACAAGCCCGAGAGCGCGAGGTGTTAGCCGCGGGCGTCTTAGGACAACATCTTATGGCCGCGCGAGTGTCTGCGCTGGAACTGGGGCATCTCCCTGAAGGATGAACCCCGTAAATGGATTCTGGCCTTTGAAGGATTCCGTTTCGAGGGGCTGGAGCAGGGCTGCCGGGCTGTGTGGGGTGACCCCGTCCTCAGAGGCAGCCCCGTTCCTGTCAGGCTAACCACACCGGCCCAGCTCCCCCTGCCGCTGCATTTCCTTGGCACTGACGTTCCTCGGGGCGCCCTGGTCTTGGGAAACACGTGGCTTACCGAGCAGCGCCCACTCCTGCGGCCAGCCCCTTTGCTTCCTCCCGGTCTAGGAGTCCCCACGTCTTCCCAAGGAGACCTTCCGCGTGGTGGGGGCCTGCGCTGCCATCGGGTCCAGCGCACTGCATCGCAGCAGGACCCCAGGGAGCTCTTAGCAGAAATCGGGGTTTCTTTGTAACTGGCTCCCCCAAGGGCACATGGAGGGAGATTATCGGGGTTATCAGTCATCCTGACTTCCTGTCGTTACCATCACCGAAGACGAAGGTCATTCCTTGGCTTGCGATTTGAGTAACTAGACCTTTTCTTTCTGTCACTGGGTGGCTGAGGGACCCTTTGGAGGCTTCTCTCTCCCGTGTTGAGAGGAGGTGTCTGGTGTGGCCGGTGCTCCTAGTTCCCAGGGCTTCTTCATTAGTGAGGCAAACCTGTCAGCACAGCACGGAAACATCGAGGCTTTTGCCAGGTGCCACATTTTAACACCCAACCCTACAAAAACATTTTGCAAAAGGGCAAAGAGCGAAAGGTACAGCAGTAATAATTGCCAGGAGTGTCTTGGCACCGTGGACGCTCAACAGGAGAAGGAAGTCACCCAGACGGCCCCGGGCCCCGCGTGCAGGGTGGCTTGGCGGCTTGGTGTCCTGCCCCAGGTCATCGGGAGGCGCACGCCCCCAGAGGACCCTGGCTGGTGTTTAGAATGCAAATAGCACCTTTCCTGTTTACCCCGTTTTCTGATTTTCTGCTCCAGGCTGTTATTCTGGGAGTGTTTTCGTGGCCTGCCCTGGAGGCCGTTTGGCACTTCACGCGTGCACCTGAGTCGCCCCCAGAAGGTGCCGCGGTCCGTGCGCGGTTTGTACAGCAGAACCCCAGGGCTGGCAGCTGGAGATCAAGGTGTCTGCGGGCTGCTTTCCCCCGGGGCCTCTGTCCTCGGCCTGCATCCGGCAGCCTCCTGCCTCCGTCCTCAGGGCGCCTTGGGGCCGCTGGTCTGGGTCCTGTCGCCCCCTTTCCCAGTCCCGCTGGGTGGGGCCCACCCAGGTGAACTCATAACGTGGGGAGCT